GTTGCCTTTTTTTATAACATTCTATTAGAACACAGCCATGGCCATTTATGTATGTATTTTCTGTGCATGCTTCCATACTGCAATAGCAGAACTGAGTAATTACAACAGAGACTGTATGGCCCACAAAGCTAGGATATTTACTTGATATCCCTTATAGAAAAACATTGCTGACCCATGACAATATTATCAGAACCCTCATAATAATCTCGTTGTTTGGCAGATAAAATGCTACAAACAATTTGGAAAACTAGTTTATCATTTCTTAAAAAGCTATCTACCCTACAACTCAGCAATGTACCACCCAGCATTTATTCAAGATGGAAACATATATCCACATCAAGCTTTGTGCAAGGATGATCGTTAAAATGTTATTCATTTTAGCCAAAACTATAAAAAGTCCAGGTATCCATCAATAGATTAGAAAAATACTGTGGTATAGTCATACAATAGAACACTTCTCAGCAATATAAAAGAACAAACTACCGAAATATGTAGCCATCTCAAAAACCTAATGTGGTGTGAAAAAAGACACAAAATATAATGCATATTTATATGAATTCCAGAAAAAGCACATTCACATATGGTGATAGAATTCACCGTTTGCTTTGATATGGGGACGCATTACCTTGCAAAGGGCACAGGGTAACTCTTTGGAGTGATGGAAATACTGTGTCTTGTTAGTAGTGAAGATTACACAGGTCTAAGCATTTGTGGAAATGGTTTAAATTGCATGTTTAAAATTGAAAAAAAGAACATATATATTTTTCAAGGCTTACACGATATGAGAGTTTAACAAAAAGTCAATAATATCTTCTATTTCTCTAATCCAAAGGCACTTCCAACAAGGCCAGCTGAAGTTGTTAATAAGGATGATAGGGGAAAAAACGTCTCAAAATTATCTCTCAATCTTTATAGTCATACTACATCTTCTGCTCTTTTATATATAAACTTAATATTTCTGAGAAGTTTGCTTCGCATCGTAAAATTCTGTTAAGAAAGATGTTCTGATGTTTAGAAATAAAGCAAGGGCACCTGGGTGGCTCAGTTGGTTGAGCGACTGCCTTCGGCTCAGGTCATGATCCTGGAGTCCCGGGATCGAGTCCCACATCGGGCTCCCTGCTCAGCAGGGAGTCCGCTTCTCCCCCTGACCCTTCCCCCCTCTCATGCTCTCTCTATCTCATTCTCTCTCTCAAATAAATAAATAAAATCTTTAAAAAAAAAAAAAAAGAAAGAAGGCAAAAGCATGACTACATCCATTTTTATGTCACTTGAAAGCACTAATGGCTCTAATGATTATTTAACTAAATAAGGGGATTTTACTTTTGTTTGAATTACTATTTACTCTTGATTAGGGACTATATTCTGTAAAATTAGGCTTTAACTTTAGATTTCTCTCTGGAATCAAGGTAACTCTGATGGTTATGTGTCCCTTACCCCTGTAGGACATTAACTAGTTTGTATCTGTTAGCAAATTCATTTCAGCTTTCCTTTCACTGGATAACTATCTATTAGGTATTTTGAATTCTCCCATGAGCCAGCTTTACCTCTCCATGGTTCTCTCAATGATGAGTTAAGAAATCCTTGACATATGCTCACTATAATATTTGTATAAAAAACAAGTCTTAATTTTTAAACACTTGTACTTTGACAATTCTCACGTTTAACACATAGTTCACTTTCAAGACCAAAGGCCCTTAGGTGTTATTCTTCCCTTAGCTCTTCTCAACAAAATAAGAAGGCCGGTGGCTTCAAATATGGTGAAACGTGAGAAAACTATTAACCCCCCGAAGCATATTTCCAAATGCAAATATCAGTTAAGGCATTTTTTAAAATTCCTGTCATTGGTAAGCACGTGTGCAACATTTTTTCCCCCTTAAATATATATATTTACACACACACACACATACACAAACTTATGGGTAGAATTTAATAGGTTGCATCAGTCCAATGTTCCACATGCAACAATTAGGGGAAAAATGGATAAATGACAAATAACATTTTTGAAGACATGAGAGTAATGTGGATGCTGAAAGGGCTGGATAATATTCCAGAATTGGGAAAAATATTTGTAATAAGCTTATGCTGGCAAGCAATTTCTTCTTTGGGGGAACTGGCTAATTTTGGGTTTGGATTAAAGATTGGACTTGGTGCCAGTACAGGGGCTAACATGGGTGAAAGAAAAACCAGTTATCTTTTGGTGGTCGTGGAGGTTGGCACAACAGGTTAGAAATTTGAGGAGCCCAAACAAAAGCCTAATCAAAAGAAATATGGATCACATGGTAATTCTATTTTTAATTTTTAAGGACTTGTCCATGACTGTTTTCTACAATGGCTGCACTAGCTTGCATTGCCACCAGCAGTGCACAAGGGTTCCTTTTGCTCCACATCCTCATCAACACTTGTTATTTCTTATGTTTTTAATTTTAGTCATTCTGACAGGTGTGAGGTGATATCTCATTGTGGTTTTGATTTGCATTTCCCCAATGATGAGTGATGTTGAGCATCTTTTCATGTGTCTGTCGGCCATCTGTACGTCTTCTTTGGAAAATGTCTATTCATGTCTTCCAATCACTTTTAATTAGATTTGGTTTTTTTGGTGTTGAGTTGTATAAGTTCTTTATATATTTTGGATATTAACCCTTTATTGGATATTTCATTTGCAAATACCTTCTCCCATTGTAGATTGTCTTTTTGTTTTGTTGATGGTTTCTTTTGCTGTGCTTTTTATTTAGGTGCAGCATTATTTATAATAGCCAAGACATGCAAGCAACCCAAGGGTACATCCATAGATGAATGGATAAAGAAGATGTATACACACACACACACACACACACACACACACACACACACTGGAATATGACTGAGCCATAAAAAAGAAAGAAATCTTACCATTTGTAACAACATGGATGGATCTAGAGGGTATAATGCTAAGTTAAATAAGTCCATTAGAGAAGGACAAATAACATGATTTCACTCATATGTGGAATTTAAGAAGCAAAACAAACAAAGAAAAAAAGAGATGGACAAGAAAAACAGACTTTTCAATAGAGAGGACAAACTGGAAGTTGCTAGAGGAGAGGTTGGTGAGGGAATAGGTGAAGTAAGTGAAGGAAATTAAGAGTACACTTGTGAGAAGCCCTGAGTAGCATATAGAATTGTTGAATCATTATATTGTACACCTGAAACTCATATAACACTGTATGTTAATTATATTTGAATTTTTAAAAATAAATAAAATTTCTAAAAAAGAAAGTTGGAGTGGCAATTTTAATATCAGAAAATTGGACTTCAAACAGGAATATTTCCTGGGAAAAGGGGAAAAATTATATTTTTTGATATTCTGGGCCACAAAACAAACACTTAAAATATTTAAAATAATACAAAATGTGTTTTCTCATCATAACAGAATAAAAGTACAAAAAAAGATTTTGGAAAACATCTTCTATTTGGAAATTGATAAAAACTCTTCCAAATAACCAATGGGTTGAGGAAGATCTTGTAAGAAAATCAGAAAACATTTGCAATTGAATGAAAGTGAAAATACAATATATCAAAACCTTTGGGATGCAGATAAAGCTGTCTTTAGAGGGGAAATTTTTAGCATTAATGCTTATATTAGAAAATAAGAGGGCGCCTGGGTGGCTCAGATGGTTAAACGTCTGCCTTCGGCTCAGGTCATGATCCCAGGGTCCTGGGATCGAGACCCACATCAGGCTCCCTGCTCCTTGGGAGCCTGCTTCTCCCTCTGCCTCTCTCTCTCTCTCTCTCTCTCTCTCTGTCTCTCATGAATAAATAAATAAAATCTTTAAAAAAAAAAAAAGAAAATAAGAAAGATCTCAAATCAATGACCTAAGCTTTTAAGAAAGTAGAAGATTTACATGGAAAGGCATAGGAGCTAGTACAACAAAAACATAATTGTAAAGAACAAAGTTGGAGGACTCTTCCTACATGGTTTCAAGATTTACTGTAAATAATTAAGTAATCAAGATCATATAATATTGGTGAAAGGATAAACACATAAATCAATGAAGTCAAGCAGTATAAAAATAGACCCTCACATATGTAACCAATTGGTTTTCAACAAAACTGCAAAGGCAATTCAATAAAGAATCAATCATCTTTTCCACAAATAGGGTGGAAAAGTTGGATATCCATTTAGGAAACAAGACAAAACAAAACCTCAATCCATGACACAGAGCATACACAAAAAACTAAGTCAAATGATTTATAGATATATGGAAAATCTAAAACTATAAAACTATTACAATAAAATGTGGGATAAAGTCTTTCTGTCCTTAGATCATGCAAATGTCTCATAGATTTCTCAGTCAATATTTCATGAACCATAAAAGAAAAAATTGATATATTTTCCCATCAAAATTAAAAATGTCAGCTCTCCCAAAGACCATGATAATAAAAGGAAAAGATAAATGACAAACTGGGAGAAAAATATTTGAAAAACACAAATCAGCTAAAGGTCTCATGTCCTAAATGTATAAAGAATTCTTAAAACTCAAGAAGAAGAAAACAATCAACCCAGGAAAAAAACTTAGTGAAAGATTTGAGCAGATACTTTATCAAAACAGACATGGAAAGCACATAAAAAGATATTCTACATCAGCAATCCTTAAGAAAATGTGAATTAAAACCACAATGAAATTCTACTACACATCTATTGGAATAGCAAACAAAAAACTTGACAATACCAAAGACTAATGAAGATGTGAAATCATTCAATAATACATTATTGGTGGTAATCAAAAAATAGTATGACTGCTTTGGAAATGAGTGTTCAGTTTCTTACTTATCACTTTAAATATATACTTATAACATGGCACAGTAATCTGATTCCTAGGTATTTACCAAGTAAAAAGGAAAACATGTTCACACAAAAAACCTGCACATGAATGTTCATAGTAACATTATTCAAAGTCACCAGAAATTGGTAATAAGTCCAATACATTATTCATAACAGCTTAAAAGTAGAAAAACTCGGGCACCTGGGTGGCTCAGACGGTTAGGCGTCTGCCTTCGGCTCAGGTCGTGGTCCCAGGGTCCTGGGATTGAGCACCACGTCGGGCTCCCTGCTCGGCGGGGAGCCTGCTTCTTCTCCTTCTGCTCTCCTGCTCCTGCTCTCCCTCTCTCTCTCTCTCTCTCAAATAGATAAATAGAATCTTAAAAAAAAAAAAAAAGTAGAAACAACTCAAATAACTTTCACCTGGTAAATGGATAAACAAACTGGTATGTTCATGCAATGAAATACTACATTGGAATAAAAAAGAACAAATGACTTATACAACAACATAAATGAATCTGAAATGCATAATGCTAAACAACAGAAGCCAAACTCAAAATAACATATACTATGTGATTCCACTTATATGACCTTCTATAAAAGGCAAAACTAGAGGGATAGAAAAGAAGCCAGTGGTTGTCAGAGTGTGGGGGTAAGGGAAAGTGGTGGCTGCAAAGAAGCACAAGCAAATTTGGGGGGATGGAATTGCAATGTACCTTGATTGTGATGGTGGTTTCACAACTTGGTGCATTTGTCAAAACTCATAAGACTATATAGTAAAAATTATGAATTTTACTATATGGAAATTACTCCTCAATAAGCCTGAATTTGAGAAAAGCTGATAAAGGAAGTAATATAAAATAATGACATAATCAAAAAAAATAGAAAAGAAGGAAAAGAGAAAGGATAGGAAAAATACATAAGCAAGATGGTAAACTTAAAGTTACTTATATGAGTAGTTACATGAAATGCAAATGGACTAAACACTCCCAAATCAAAGGCAAAGATTTTCAGACTGGATTTAAAAAAACAACTCAAGTATATGTTGTTATGTTTTAAATATAAGTACACAGATTGAAAGCAAAAGAATGGGAATGATAGCGCATGCAAACTGTAACCTAAAAAAAAAGTTGTGTGGTTATATTACTATCAAAGTTACCTTTAAGGCAAGAAGTGTACCACCGATAAAGGGAGGCATTTCCTAAAGATAAAAGGGGCAATTCAACAGGAAGACACAACAATCCTATATTTTTATGTCTGTTTTAACATAGCTTCAAACAGTGTACATAAACATTAATAGAAGAGTAGAGGAGAAGTAGAACCCTAATCATAGTTTAATATCCTACTTCTGGTGTATTAGACCCCATAGAATGACTAGATAACAAAAATAGTAAGTTATATAGAAATCTGAACAAAATTATTAATAAACTTGATCTTTTTATATATATAAAAATATATTTATATTATTAAATAGATATTCAATATATATTTGTATATATCACTATACCCAGCAACTGCAGAAAGCACATTCCAGTAGAGATGAAATATTTACCAAAATACACTATCTGCTATGCATACAAGAAGTCTGAACAAACTTCAAAAGATTGAAATCATATAGAGGACTTCTTGGACCATGGTGAAATGAAGCTAGAAATCAATTAATAGATAACTAAAAAATCTGAAAATATTTGGAAATTAAGCAATGCCCTTCTAAATAACCCAGTAGTCAAGAAAGCACTACGACAATTAGATAATAAAAATTCAGCACATTAAAATTCATGGGATACGGCAAAAGTGTGTGCTATTTATTATTTTTTGCCTCTCAGCTCCAAATTCCACCTATCTGCCAGCTTTGTGTAAACAGGTTTGGGCCCTTTAAATATTTTTCCTTGCCGGCTGGAACTTTGTCATTAGAGGGCACTGGAAATACATTGCAGGGGGAAACTGTTTTTGCTTCCTCATTCTGGTATGCTTGCTGGGCAAGCTTCTCCAGGACATATTACTTTCCCCTTCTGCAGTTCACAGTGGCCAATAGCTTCCCTGCACCTCCCTTGGGCAGCTTTGTAGCAAAGTGCGGCTGTGAAGTTTCCCTGGGACTTCAGAGGGTGGATTTCCAGCACACTTTACCAATATGGTGCCGTAAAGAACTTCTCTGCCATTCCGTGAGCCACAGCAGCCTTCCACAGCAAGGTCTGGATCTCAGGCTCCTTGAGGGGGCCTCTCTCTTGGGTGTGCGATCTCAGCTCCAGGGGTAGTAGCTGTAGAATCTTCTTCACTTTTTGCTAACCCATCATTACTCCAATCCAATGGTAGGGTTAATAATTATTTATGTTACACACTTTTCCAAATTTCTGTGTGTTTTCTCTCTCCTGATTGGACCTATTGATTCACAATGCTTACAATAAAAATTACTTTAAATATATATATTAGAAAGAAAAAGATCAATTTCTAAGTTACCATCTTAAGAAATAGAAAAAGAATAGAAAATAGAAGGAAATGAATAAAAATGAAGACAAAAATTGATAAACTAGAAAGCTGACGTAAAATGGAGAAAAATCAACAAAGTCAAAAGCTTTTTCCTTTTAAGAATATCAATAAATTTAATAAATTCTTTGCAAGATCATTATGAACAGTTTCATACAAATAAATGTGATGACCTAAGTAAAATGGAGGATTTCCTTTAAAGATTTATTTGTTTATTTTAAAGAGTGTGAGCAGCGGGAGGGACGGTGAGAGAGGGAGAGAATCCTCAAGCAGACTCCCCATTGAGCACAGAGCCCCATGCAGGGCTTGATCCCAGGACACTGAGATCATGACCTGGGCTGAAATCAAGAGTCAGATGCTTAACCGACTGAGCCACCCAAGTGCCCGGAAATGCTTCTTTTATATTTTTATCTCATCATTGGCAATGGAGCAACTAGAACTGGAACTTTCATATATTACCAACGAGAGTATAAATTGTTACAACCACTGTGAATCACTGGGGTCTACTAAAGCTCCCTTATCACCCGGAAGTTCCAACGCTTAGTATTTAAGAGAAAATGCATGAGTATGTCACACAAAAGGCATGTACAAGACTATCATAGCAGTTTTTTTCATAATAGCCCCAAACTGGAAAGAACTCAAATGTCTATCAACAGTAGAATGAATAAATTGTGGTGGAACAGAATACTACAAGCAGTTAAAAAGAACTGATAACATGGATGAGTATAACAGACATGATACTAAACAAAACAAAACAAAAAACCCAGGCACAAAACTGGAACAAACTGTACAATTCTATTTCTATGAATTTCAGACAGACAAAATAATCTATGGAGGAACACAATGGAGGAGCACAATGGAGCATTCTGGGGACCAATATTCTACATCTTGATCTAGATAGTGGTTACATGAGTAATACATATGTAAAAATCCATTGGGCTATATACTTAACAATTTGTGCACTTTAGTTTCAGTGTGTGAAAACACAAATAAAATTTTTCAAATCACAGAAATTTCATGAATATATTTTTACTGAAAGATTCAAACAACACTGAAAGACATAGAGTAAAATGTTAATCCTACCTTCATTTCTTGCTCCCCCATTCCTGCTGTCTTCCCTAAAGAAAATAATCAAGTGAGCTTACTTCCAAATCAATTTCTATGCATCTACATGCATAAATATATGCCAATGTATAGTAACATTTAAAAAATACACATTCATGCTTCACAATAATTCTATAATTTTATTTTTACCCTAAAAATACATCTCAAGCTCTTTCGATGCCTCATGCAGATCAGACTTATTTTTGTATTTTTATTTTTTTAAAGATTTTATTTATTTATTTATTTATTTGACAGAGAGAGACACAGCGAGAGAGGGAACACAAGCAGGGGGAGTGGGAGAGGGAGAAGCAGGCTTCCTGCCGAGCAGGGAGCCCGATGCGGGGCTCGATCCCAGGACCCTGTGATCATGACCTGAGCCGAAGGCAGACGCTTAATGACTGAGCTACCTAAGCACCCCAGCTTTATTTTTTTTAAAGGTACACAATGTTCGTAGTATCAAGGTAACATAATTAATTCTGTAATTTTCCAACTAGTGGAAATTGAGATTATTCCTATTTTTTCACTATTCAAAACCATGCTGCATCAAACATCCTTAAGTTTTCTTTGTGCACACAAACAAGTATTTTGTGGTACACTATGAACAATTAATTTATTTTGGCTAAAACTGTAGAGACAAAATTGCTGAGTAAAAAAAATTGTAGAGTAAAAGTTTTGGTAAATTCTACCAAATTGCTTTCTCAGAAAGCCTTACAAATTACATTCTGACCAAGTGTACATAAAAATACCTGATTCCTCACATCTTCATAAACACTAAACATTATCAGCCTTTTGTTAAGTTTTTATTTAAATTCTAGCTAGTTAACATACAGAGTAGTATTAGTTTCAGGTATACATAAATATTATCAATCTTTTAAAATTCTGCCAGTTTTAAGGATAAAAGAAAAAAGGCAATTCACTGTTACTTTAAATCATACGTCTAAAGTCAAAGACAAATATCAAATGATCTTACTTGCATGTCAAACCTAAGAAACAAAACAAACAAAAAGCAAAAACAGAACCATAAATACAAAGAACTGATAGTTGCCAGAAGGGGGTGGGGGAGGGAGGATGGGCGAAATGGGTGAAGGGGAAGGGGAGATACAGGTCTTCAGTTATGAAATGAGTAAGGCATGGAGATGAAAGGTACAGCAATAGGGAATATAATCAATGGTATGGTAATAACATTGTATGGTGACGGGTGGTAGCTACACTTGTGGTGAGCACAGCATAAGGTATAGAGATGTTGAATCACTATGTTGTACACCTGAAACTAATGTAACATGTGTGTCAACTATACTTCAATTAAAAAAATTATATTTCGGGCGCCTGGGTGGCTCAGACGGTTAAGCGTCTGCCTTCGGCTCAGGTCATGATCCCAGAGTCCTGGGATCGAGTCCCGCATCGGGCTCCCTGCTCCTTGGGAGCCTGCTTCTCCCTCTGCTTCTCTCTCTCTCTCTGTCTCTCATGAATAAATAAATACAATCTTTAAAAAAAATTATATTTCTATTCATTATTTATATTTCTTCCTACTGAAGTGATTGTTTATATCCTTCATACATGTTTCTATTAGGTTGTTCATATTTTTCTTATTGATATTTTGGTATTTAGTACATATCATAAAATGTACTCAAAAACATGTTGAAAATATTGTCTCCTGGCTTGTCACCTTCAACTGTTCTTTTTCTTATCACATAGCATGGCAAGGACTCTCAAAACAGTATGGAAAAACTTTAGTGGGAAAACCTCTAATATTTTATGATTAGCATGATGCTTGTGTATGCAGATATCTTTCATTAAAATAGAGAAGTTTTTCCTACTTCTGGTTTACTAAAGTAGTTTTCTTTCTAATAAAAAATAGATGTCAAATTGTATCAAATGCTTTTTGGCATCTCTTAAGATAATTATATCACTTTTTCTTTGAGTATAATGATTTGCATTAATATAGTCTGAATTTTGAATCAGCTTTGACTATTTTGGATAAATTCTACTTAGTTATGATTTTTCTACCTTTCTATATAAATGTATTCATTTAAAAAACACATTTCTGGATTCATTTTGCTAATACTTAGGATTTCTATATTTGTGTTCATAAATGAGTATATGCTTTCTTTGTGTAGTTTTAATATGCAGGCCATGTCAGCCCCAGTGTAAATGAATTAGAAAACTTTCTATTTTTCCCAAACTTTTGGTTAATTAATATAGCATAGGGATTATTTGTTATACACTTATAGAACTATCTGTGTTTGGTGATTTTTTATAAGAGAGTTTTTTCAATGTTTTTGCTGTTTGTTATTTGTTCTTTTAAGGTACGAATCTCCTCTTGGATCAATTTTGGTTTTATATTTTCTAGAAATTATTTTTATCTAGATTTTTCTAATTTATTATCTTTTTAAAAAGGTTTTATTTATTTGAGAGAGAGAGAGAGCATGAGAAGGGGCTGAGGGACAGAGGGAGAAGCAGACTCCCCGCTGAGCAGAGAGCTCAGGGGCTTGATCCCAGGACTCCAGGATCATGACCTGAGCCGAAGGCAGCCACTTAACTGACTGAGCCACCCAGGCACCCTCTAATTTATTATCTTAAGTTCAGTATTTATCTCAGATTTTTTAGAATGTATTCCATACCCATAGTTATGCTCCTCCTCATTTCTTTTGTTGATAATCCTCTCATATTTACCTTGAGATATTCTAGATTTTTCACATTTTTGGTTCTTTTCAAAAAAATCATATTTTCATTTATTCATATTTACTTCACTATGCATTTCATTCCTGTTTTTTTTTCTTTAGTAATACTTTCCTTATATAGTTTAATTTTTCTTCCACTAGCCTCTTGAGCTGTATGCAAGACTTCTATTCAATCTTTTCTTATTTTCTAATGTATGCATTCAAGGCCATATCTTTTCTCTGAATATATATAGGTTTTGAATGTATTGGTCTTATTATCCTTCTTGTGGTAGTGGTTAATATACTGGCTCCAGACCACAGTATCTAGGTTCCAATCCCAACTCTGTCATGTATGGACTGTGTGCCCTTGAGCAGGTTATTTAACAGAACTTTGTGTTTCAGTTCCTCATCTGTGAAATGGAATCAACCTCTCAGGATTATTGTGATAATAAAATTAGACAATTCATGTAGATCATGTGACATAATGCTTGTTGTATAGATATGTTTAATAAATCTTAGGCATTGCTATTTCTAAACAGTTGATAACTTCCTTTTAAATTCTTTTTTATTGAGGGGCACCTGGGTGGCTCAGTTGGTTAAGCGACTGCCTTCGGCTCAGGTCATGATCCTGGAGTCCCAGGATCAAGTCCCGCATCGGGCTCCCTGCTCGGCGGGGAGTCTGCTTCTCCCTCTGACCCTCCTACCTCTCATGCTCTCTGTCTCTCATTGTCTCTCTCGCAAATAAATAAATAAAATCTTAAAAAAAAAAAATTAAAAAAAAAAGAAATTCTTTTTTATTGAATTTATTGAATTGACGGAGTGACTTTTAATTTCCAAGTTTATAAAATTGTACCTCTTTATTAATTCCAAATTTTATTGCAGTGTGATCAAAGAATGTGATCTGAATGATTTCTTATCTGGGAATTTATTAACATTGCCTTTGTATTTTATCAGCTAGTTAATGTTGCATGTGTGTTTGAAGAGATTGTGCATTCACCATTTATTGTGTACAAAGCCCTTTAAACTTATTCAGTCAAGCTTCTTTATTGTGTTATTCAAATACTTTCTATCCTTACTTTTTTCCTACTTTATCTGTCAATTTCTGAGATATGTGTGGAAGTCTTTCAAAATGGCTATGCATTTTCATTCCTACTTGTATTTCTACCAAGTTTTACTTTATAAGTTACAAGCATAACTTTTGATTTTATATTGGTAGGATCATTAGTTCATTATTAATAAAGCTTCTTATGGAATTGTTTCTTTCATCAATATGTATGTTCTTTATCTCATTAAATTCTCTTTGCATTAATTTTTTTGTCTAACACTGTGAACCACACTTACCTATTTTTAATACTTGCCTGATATATCTTCGCATGTGCTTTTATTTTCAACCTTCTTTCTAGATGTAGTTCTTCCATCTAGCTTATAGCTAGATGTGTTGTTGTTTTACCAATTTGAGATTTGAGATTCTATGTCTTTATTGAAGGAATTGATTCCATTTGTCATGTAAAATGATATCCACTGTCATATGATTATTGATGGCTTGACTTTTTTCCTGCCATCTGGTTGTACCTGTGCACGTATTTTTTTATCATGCTTTTAGAACTTCCCTCTTATCTCTTCATCATGCCTTGTCTCTGATGTCTTTATGTTGTAATCATCTAGAATAGGGTTTGGCCTGCAGGCCAAATCTGTCCTGCTGCCTGTTTTGTAAATAAAGTTTTATTGGAACACAATCATGACAATTCAATTACATATTCTCTGTGGCTGCTTTCAGTCTAGGGCAGTAGAGTTGAGTAGTTGTAACAGAGACCGAATGAACCACAAGCAGAGAATATTTACTCTCTGGTATTTTACAGAAAAAGTTTGCCAACATCTAATCTAGATTTTAACTTTATGTTACTGATTTTTAAACATATATCATATTTAGATAACAACAAGTTACATAAATTCTTTTCTCTCCACTCTTTCTTGAATATATTCATCTTTCTTGGATTCCTTATTTATTTTGTTAAAGTTCATCCTATAGTCATACTTTCAAGGAGATTCTATGATACATAACTGCTAAGGCTTTTTATTTCAAAAATCCTGTCTTTATTTTTTTAAAGATTTTATTCATTTATTTGACAGAGAGAGAGAGACACAGCAAGAGAGGGAACACAAGCAGGGAGAGTGGGAGAAGGAGAAGCAGGCTTCCCGCCGAGCAGGATGCCTGAAGCGGGGCTCGATCACAGGACCCTGGGACCATGACCTGAGCCAAAGGCAGAGGCTTAACGACTGAGCCACCCAGGCGCCCCCTCAGAAATCCTGTTTTTAAAGTCTAAGATCACTGTTTGCTTCATTTTTATGGATGT